GTGGGGGAGGTGGGCATAGGGAGGGGTGTTGGAACCAGAGCCACCAGTTTTCGAACAGCTCATCACCGGTCGGAGAGGATGTAGGAACTTCAGGATTAGTTTGGCGAACGTTCACCTGCGTGTTTCATTTGAGTCTCACTTGGCTGCACTTTAACTGGAAGCCCTTTGCACTTCCCACATGAGCTGGCGTGTGCATGCAGCTAACATGCATGTCAAGGTCTCTTTTCACCACCGGGACCCTCGCCTTCGGGAGAATGCCTGTGTGTCAAACCTTAGATTTCTCAGACTAAGGCTGTGTTGAAGTCTATAATTCCTTGAAGCTCTGTAGACTTTGAAATACTTGTTTTTCTGCAGGAATTTTAGCTACTTTGAATTCAAGATGAACCTTTCAGACCCTTTCTTTTCATTTTAATTCCCCAATATCATGGGGAATGAGTAAAGGGGAACCATCTCAAGAAATAGCCATTGCTGCCAACATTTTATGTGGAATTGGGGACCATTTTATATATATGTACATACTTAACATTTTCTGAGGGGAAATTCACGTAACATAAAATTGATCATTTTAAAGTGAATGGTTGAATGGCATTTTAGTACATTCATAATGTTGTATAACCACCATCTCACACCTACTTTTTAAAACGACCTCATCACCCAAAATAAAGACCATGAAGAAGTTAATCCCTGCCTCCCTCTTCTCACAGCCCCATGTATAAGTTTTCATTCATTTTACGGCTAAATAATATGCCATTGTATGTATATACCATAATCCGTTCATCTATTCATTGATGGACATTTGGGTTGTTTCTACCTTCTGACTGTTGTGACTAGTGCTTTTATGAAATTTGATATTCAGTCCAATCGATTTTTTAAAATTTTATTTTTCAATTATACTTTATATTCAATACAATCAGCGCTCATTCTTGGTAGTTATGTTCTGTGAGCATGGAATTAGCCAATCCTGGCCCATTGCTCCCAGGGGGAGGCTGCCGACAGCACTGTAACTGATGCCTGAATAAAGCTTATCTAACAGGTGTTTCTCCACAAGGCAGCTCACGGCCCTCTTGCAGTTAGGACACTAGACAGCACTTCAGCACAACACTTGGGGGCCATTTTAATCAGCAAAATCAACAACAATAAAAGCACAGAAATGTGAAGCGAGTGGTGCTGAATAGACTGCTAAAAGGACATGTGTTCACAGGACGAGCTGAAGCAGAAGGCCGAGTGTCACCTTGTTTGACCCCAGTGGGGAACATGCGTGTTGGGCGACTCAGGTTTTTCACTGCTCTGTATGTGTCCACAGATGACTGAATGCATCACTAGTATGCATCTTGGGCTTACAAATAAACTAGTGTGTAGGCAAATTCACAGGCACAGAATTGTCCAATAATGAGAATAGACCGTATTGTTTTGAGTAACTGTTTTCAATTCTTTGGGGTATACACCTACGAGTAGACGTGCTGGCTCATGTTTTAAATAGAGAAAGTATGTGAACTTCTAATAGCAAGGAGATTCTTGCCGCTTTTGATGTTTTTACATATCACATTCACAGGACATTTTTATAAATCCAGTTGTTCCTAATTAAAAGCTATGCACAAATTAGTAACTGAGGATTCTGAAAACCTTGTTTTGATGGCAGATACCACAAATATTTTAATTGTCTTATTATTCATTCACTTTGTAATTTTTTCAGCCTGACACAGCCTTCTTTATATTGATTTCTTTTTAAATCTGCAAACAACACCCCCCAATGGCTTCACATTTCACACCGTATCAGGTGTTAAGGATTTTCCTCTGGTTCTTAGCGAAGGTATTCAGAGTAGTTGAAAGCATTACTGCACGTGGACAAGGGCTGCACACTTCGTGCCCTGCGTTGACTGGCGGCTAGTGCCCACCCGAGCGCTCCTTTCCAGGCGCGTCCTGGCTGACAGTGACCCCACCGCTGTGTTGTGTTTCTAGGGATATCGGGCATTGATCAAGTGCTGAACGTTCTCCTCACCACGGCTATGTTTGTAGGAGGCTGTGTGGCTTTTATTTTGGATAACACCATCCCAGGTATGTGGTATATGTCCAACATGCTTACTACTTATGTGAATTACTTTTTTGCCAAATAAATATAGGCAGCAGGAAGAGTGAGTCTGTTCAAAGCCATCACTGGTCGAAACTCTCTTTTCTGAAGTGGTTAAGATGACACTGCCAGCCTTCTTTATGAAATCAGTTTTTTGCTAATAAAGTTATCGAGCTGTTTTCCTCCTTGCTGAGCGACTTTTTAGAGAAATTCCTTGCATGGGGTGAAATGGCAGTGGGCTGCCCTGGGCACACTCTAGCCTGCCCGCCCTCCCTGCACAGCCTTGCCCAGCACCCTGCAGTTTGGTTTCATTGGCAACAGTCTTTGGCACTTCTCCTGCTTGGGGAGCCTGTCTGTTAAGTGAATCCAAGTCCTTCCTAAGGCAGGTGCCAGCCAACTAGGACCAAATGCCACGAGGACAGTGGGCACAGGCTGCTGCCAGGATCAGCGAGTGGCACGGGTTGGGAGGCAGCATTTCTCCAATACCCATAACCCTTGTTTCTCAGCTGGGATGCCAAGTATTGGGTGGTGGACCAGGATGTGACCTGTGGCCTTCCCAGCTTCCTACAGAGGCTGCTCTGTCCTATTGTAAATGCCACAGAAACACCGGTAGACTTACCTGCCAAGCAAGAAAGGGTAATGTTTATTCTTGAGCTTTAAGGTCTTATTGAGACGACCGCCCCCCCTCCCCAGATCCTCAATCAAGAGGATGCTGCGGGAACTGGGATGAACACATACATGAATAGGTGGAAGGTGTTAGATTTATGAGGGTCAATAACTAACACCCTCTTTCTCTCCCAAGTCAGAGCTAATTGAGGGAGAGACATATGAGTCAGAGATGGAAGTTAAAGTCAGTTTTGTTATTGAAACACCAACGGGGCAGAGACAATAGCTTAGATGTAAGAAAATAATGAGGATCCTAAATATTGCACCATAGACTCAAGATCCTCACCCAGGCTCGGGCACAGTGGCATATTGTTACATGGCCTGTTGTAGCTGAGGGCAGGCCCCAGTGCTCCTCTGCACCAGGCTTATCTCTCAGAGCCCAGAGTGTTAACCAGTAGTTCATCCTCACAGGAGCACGACAAGTGGGGCGTAGCCGAGTGCAGCATCCACACAGGCGCACTAAAATAGAGGGAAGCCGTATAAAACTCAGAATGTCCGGGTTGGGGCGTTGCCACGACCAATTGATGAAGGCATTGTGTATAACAAGTACTCGGGGTCCCATTTTGCAAGATCAGATTCGCATTTTAGAGAGAGGTTTTTGTTTTTTTGTGTGGTTTTTTTTTGCAGTGTTGGAGAGCAGATTTGGGGGAGGGGATGGGGACTCTGAAGACTGGACAGCCAGTTTGACAAAATGACCGTGGGAAGCAATGACACTTCCTGGGCCAGACTTCCTCAGGAAAAACTGTAAGAATATGCATCACGTGGAAGGACGGGGTGAGGTAGAGGCCTCGGAAGATCATTTGAGCACGGAGCACCAGGAACAAGATGGATTAGCGATTCTTAGATTTCTGGGTTGGGGCCCTGGATAGCCGAGTGCCGTCAAGGGTGCTTTGCTGTTATCCTTTAGGTTCGATCTGTGGGACGGCATGTCAGACCCTCTGCTTCCGGAAGAACTGCTAAACTCAACACTCCATTGCTTTGTTTTGATGTGTGTGTCCCGTAGGTACTCTGGAGGAGAGAGGAATCCGGAAATGGAAGAAAGGCATAGGCAAAGGGAGCAAGTCGCTTGATGGCATGGAGTCCTATGATTTGCCATTCGGCATGAACATCATTAAAAAATACAAATGCTTCAGCTACTTACCCATCAGCCCAACCTTTGTGGGCTACACGTGGAAAGGCCTCGGGAAGAGCGCAAACAGCCGGAGTCCGGACAAGGACTTGCAGGCCACGGTATAGCCGTAGCTTGCCCTGTGGCCTGGCCGCAGTGAGGCATGATCTGTAGTTTCTTGCTGAGCAACAAGCAGTAACATGTATGTATGTGTACCTGCATTTACATTCTGTACCCCAGCGCTAAGACAGATTGCAAGTAGCTTTTTTTGTTGTGAGTGGTGATCGTGTCTAATATAGTGTCTCTCCTCTCTCCTTATTTAAGCCCCAACCCTTTGCCCTTGAGAATGTCCACTGCTGGCTGTGGTCACTGAACTTGAAATTCCTGCCCTCCTGTGGGAGTAGATGTCTGAAATCCACAGCAATTCCTTGTTTTCAGCCCCCCTCCCACCACCCAGGCTAGCTTTCTTACAGGCCGCCTCCAGGGCAGGGGTGGGGAACGTCTGGCCCTGCCAAGGCAGCCTCTGGCAGGACTCGAAATTCGATAAATCTAGGAGCTTTTTTCATAGCAACATAAATTTTTATCAAGTGAATTAAGTGAATGATGTTATAAGCATCCACCCCTGGTCTGGGGGCTTTCTGTCCTGAAAGCACCTGGAACTGCTTGGTTTGTTGGTTTGTTTGTTTTTATTTGTCCTCCGCCTGCACCACAGAGCCCTCCTGTGGTGAAAGGGCACCAGTATCCTCGCATTGTCACAGCTGGTCAAATGTGATGCCACGCTCCCTGCTCCTCCTGTGGGAAACAGCAGCATGTTGTTGTACAGACCTACGCCCCACCTGCTTGGGGAAGGTCTGTACACAGAGTATTAGCATGGAAATGTGTTTTGGGGGACTGAGGGGAAGGAAGGTACCTTGAAGCCAGTATCTGGTTCTCAGCTACTCTCTCTCGGTGCCACCCTGGCCCAGGCTGGGCCAGCACGTTTCACACTGGCCTCTCTCTTCACGAGCAGCTGGGACACTCTGTCTGGCGCTTCTCACTCCTGGTGGTGCAACAGGTGTGGAGTGCCACACGGGGGCACCCGCCAGGCGTTTATGGGTGTCTTGGCTCTGCTGTCATGTGGATGTTGGTCATTGTCACATGTGTCTATAAATACAAGATTTTATTCCTATTTAATATTACTGACTATAGCAGATTTTTGAAATCAGTGTTTTTCCACGTGACCCTTTTACCTTGCATCCTTATTACTGTGCCCCTCCCACTTCTCCCATTAAAGCAAGAAAGAACCAGCATTTGTAAAAGCTGTGGACACCATCAGGGAAGCTGTTGTCATGGCTTTTGAGGGCCAGTAACCATTACTGTGGTTGTATTGCTTGATACCATGAAAGTGTAAATACTGTAATGCCTAATCTATTTATCAAAACTAACTACTGGACCAGAGCCCAGAAACCGTGGCTTACTTTATATGTGAATTTGTTTTGTGAAGAAGGGAAGCCGGGGAAGGTACCAAGCAGCTGCCATGTCGAATGGTGGGCGTGCTGGTACACCCACTGCTGCGGTTCTGTTGTGAGTCGATCCTCGCAGTTAAGACGTAAGGGGGTTTCTGTGGGTTGTCATGTGGCATGTCCACTGGGTCTTGATTTGGCAGAGGGGAAGGTTGGATCCCTGGACATAAGCTGCCGTTCTTGTTTAAGTTCCTGAAGAAGGTGGCGGTGAGAAGGCAGCATGAAGGTCCCCTCTGTTGAGTTCTAATTACATAACACTAAATTCTTTTTGGGGGGCGGGGGGAACTTCTTGAATTTGGTTTGAGGTTTTTCAGCCAGAAAATTCTGAGACATAACGTAGTGAGCTCACTTCATGAGGTCATGCTTCTCTTCCTGTGTATTCATTGACCTGATTGAGGCTTGAATGCCGTGGGTGTTGCTGTCTCCACAGCGGGCCATGGGCCTGGGTCTCAGCCCTATTGTGTCCATCTCGTGCCCTTCCTGTCCCCTGGCTGCCTCTGTATCACCTCCTTGACTCCTGGGAAGTTGGGGGCTTCAAGGCTTGTTCTAGCAAGAACTCTCTTCGGAACCACTTCATTGTTTTGCCAAGACCTTATTGCAGATTAAGTAAAGAACTTAGATTATAAATTACATGTAATTTTGTATGTTACTTTTCTTTGATGTGTATTTGATGCCTAGTTTATTTTGAAGCACATCCCTTAACCATTTCCATCCCTTTAACTTGGTGTGCCCTCCAGGCTGACAGTCCTCTGACACTGACCTGCTCTCTGTTCCTTCTGTTTGTATTTCTGCTCAGCATCTAAATTTCTCAGCTTTGAAAAATGGGGAAAACTGTTACACCTCCCAAAGATTTGCAGTATTCTAGCTCTATAGGTGATCAGAAGAACCAAATAAATACCCAAATAAAAGCATCTGGGCCATCAGTAATTCAGAAACAAACAAGTTCCTTTCAACATAACTTGACCGGGCTTGTCCAGAAACCCACTCCCTTCTGAAACCCCTCCTTGGGTCCGTTTCAAATCTGCAAGCATTCCTACGTGGAGGGATGTGTGCAAGCATTCCTATGTGGAGGGAAGCACTGTACCCACACCGCCTTTTGGAAAGGGGTTTTGCCCTTCTTGTTCGATTGTCCAAGGGAGGGAGTTGAGCCTCAGGATGACGCCTAAATCTTGCACAAGCAGCACACACCAACCATTTTAGGAAATGATCCTTCTGCTAGTAAATATGCCACAGAATGAGTTTAGTAGAAAAAAAGTGTGTTCATCTGCTGCCTGGTTTGAAGATACCACCTGTAGGGAGGTTTGGAGGGACACGGGGGCCATGCATGATCTGTCCCTGTGAGCTCACTCATGTAAGTGCCTTGAGCAAGGCATTTGCTTCCAGTTTCCACAGTGACCACCTACCCACCATCTTCACATGTATGTGAACCATTTTGATATAGAAAAGAAATGGAAAGTATTTATAAGGATAGTTGATGCTGCCGTATCCCAGTGGGGGTGGGTCATGGGTCCCCACCACCGGTTTTAATAAAATACCTTACAAGGTTCACAGAGAAATTGGGAAATAGTTCCAGTCTTTGTCAGCAATTTTCATTCTCATTCTCACTAGGGAGTTCAATGCAGACTCATTAGAATAAAATCTTTCTTAAGAGGGCGTCAAATGTTAACTTTTAGTGAGTTTGTTGTCATTGATCAAAGCAAGAGAAGTGGCTTAACCAGGTCAGCCGCAGTGAAGCATCATGGGTCCTGATGGTTTCCCGTTTTCATGGTAACAAATTCACACACAGGATTTCCTTTATACTGTAGAACACTGACTTTCATGATGACAACTTGGTTTATGCATGAATATTGCAGTATTTCCATATAGTAAAATAACATTTCTGCCCAGGATAATAGTTACCGTTTTCCAGGGAGGGAATGATATAATTTTCATGACAATGTCATGTGATGATAGAATTTCTCCATTGATGAATCTCTAGTATGTGTGTATACTTTATTTACCCATGCGTATATTTTATGACCGTCAGCTAAGTTGTTATTACTTTAATTCATGTCCCTGCTGAAATACTGGTACTAGCAACCTAGACTTGAAGTTGGCGACTATAATCTTCCTTAATATTGATGCCGCTAAGAGTGGCCAGGCAAGATAGAAGGTGAAAAGGGAGCTGTGGCAGGAACCTTGTTCCAGAGTCTGTCTGGTGCAAGGAGGGGCAGCATCCCGTGGGCCGCTGTGCTTGGGGTGTGCGCTCGGCTGCAGACACCGGGCCTGGTGTGGCCGTCACTGGAAGCCTGGTGTGCACCCAGCCACGCCTCCTGGACACCGTGGCTGTGCGAACGAGCCTGAGCATTGACAGTTCTCCGGGGAGCTGGCCCTTGGCTTTGGAGAAGAGCCTGGATTTTCACCTGCTGCATGTGTTGTGCTCTGTCCACTTACGACTTGAACACGAGGAACAGGACATCTCCCCCCGCTACCCGACCTGCAGTCACCACAGGACAGTGCAAGAAGACCGCGCGCCCGTTTTGCCAACGTTTCCGCCCAGGGACCCAGAGAGCACGCCCTTTTCAGCAGCCTCACACACATTCCTGTTCTTCTAGGTTGTTCTTGACTGTGCCTCGTCATCACTCTGCATAAGTAACTCCCAGCGTCCTTAGAATTGTGTGTGTTTTCTGGCATTTAGGACACCCTCACCAGCCTGGTCATGTTACTGACAGTTCAAGTTAATACCCTCTTTCGTTCGTGCATAACAACCTTTGTTTGATACGTGAATAAATTTCTGACTGTTCTTAACACAGTGGGGATGCCTATATTTTCCTTGAGTTTTTGTGGCTGACTTTGACTATGTACCTTTTTGGGGTTTTGTTCGTTTTTTTATTTTGCATACCGAGGGTATTTAGGGTGGGATTGTTTTTGAGATGTGTAATTCTTTTATGGAGTTTTTAAAAAGAAATTTCATATTGTTTTTCTAACATGGCTTCATTAAACGTTTAAGTATTTTAAAAATATGTAATATTTGGACCAGACGTTGTGAATAATAGTAGAGATAAAGCTATTTTATTCTGTATTTTTAAAACTGTTCCGTACAAATAAAAGCTCTCCTGGGCACAGCTCCGCTGTTCACGTGCCTCCTTCTTTGGCTGGTCTTCAAGACACTTGTCATCACCTGGAGGGGGGGGGCGGGGGGAATCGGCTGGTGAAAAGTTCAGTTCACAGGGGGCATTATTGGGTGCCGGGGCGATGCCCGGAGAACCCTGGCAGCTCCTCGGGAGGATGCCTGAGGGGCACGGAGACCCGCTGATGCTGGACTTTGGAGTGAAATTGAGTCTCTTATGAAGGCAGCACCACCTGGAGATTGGGGAGCGTTTAGGAGCCGGTGATCAGAAAGCCTATCTGTCCACACGGTGGCGTCAAAGGCCTGAGAGCAGCCTCGGCCGAGTCAGGTGCACTGAGTAGACAGGCAAGCAATGTTGGGATCCAAGCCTCAGAGCAGCCAGTGCCGGCCAGTCATGGGGCGTGTACGCACCGCCCCCCCACCCCCCCCATGAGGTGTGAAGGTGAGTCCAGAGGTGCTTCAGTGTATTTAGAGAAGATGTAGAGCTCCCATTCCCATCTCGTCTCTGGCAGTTTGGGCCATGAGTGGCCACCACAGTTACCGTATTCCCAATATCCCGACTTTTGAGCTGTTGCTAGACAACCAACTACCAGGTGACATTTTTACATGTGTGAAAATAGTCAAGTATTTTTAAAAATAAAAAGAATACCCATGTTCTCACCCCCCAGCTGGGACAGCAGCACATTACCAATCCTTCAGACCCCCTCTCCCCCATCCTGTGGGGCTCTCTCCTGTTGTATCCCCATCCCCCACAAAGAGAGCCACTGCCTGGATTTTGAGTTCATCTTTTCCTTGCTTTTCTTCACAATTTTTCCATATACAGGGGTTGGCAAAAGTAGGTTTACAGTTCACAGGGAAAAATAACACAAGAATAATACAAAGTAAACTTCCACACACTCACCACTGTAAACCTACTTTTGCCTACCCCTTGTATACATATTCCTAAACAATTTACT